CTCACTCATATGATTAGCCAGCTCTTCATCAGAGTCATCCTCATAATTTTTTGATCCCTTTTCATTACTTTTCTTAGGTAAGAGGGAAGAGAATTTATTAACTACCCTTTTAGTAATTGTATCTATTACTGTTTGTATAGTAGATAGGCCAGCCATGTCATTAAGACGCTCTAGAGTACCAAAGCCTTGCAACCATTCTTGATCATTCAATTGCAAATTTGGGTCTTGATATATTTTACCTAGTTCCATTTGACTAGGATGTTTCAACTTGTCACCTGGCGGAGATTGAGTAGATGCCATTGTATTTCTTACCAACTCTTCGATTTCAGTTTTAGTCATCACCAATTTGTTAGTATCTATATTATAGGTTTTTCTTGTTGATACCAAATCTGAATTTGAATGCAGATAAGCTCCAGATAATTGTTCGGCCTTATATCTTTCAATCTCTTCAAGTTCTGTAAGCAATTCAGAAATGGGTCTGTTAATTCCAATGCGTTGAATTTCTAATTGATTATCAGGAGAGATGCCATGAAGAAATTATAATCGAATTTGTTGTTCATTAATGCCAGCGAGTCTAGCCAATTTACGCAATTTTGAATAAAAATGACCAACGGGATCACTACCCTGAACTGCTGATCCAAAGATCATTCGTTGTTTTTCTGCAGTAACGGTTGGATAGTTAGTTTTGAGCCAGTATATTAACTGACCAAGTCGAACCCACCTGCTACCACAGATTGACCAACGTTGGCATTTGGTAGATTTATTACGCGATTAGTTGGATAACCATCAGCAAAAGACTAGTTCTTATCAAATACTGTATGAGCTGGAATAAGAATATTTCTGGCTTGACTTACAGCACCATGTCTTAAATTTGCACCAAGTTGCACTGCCGTTCGTCCTTGAACCAGAGCTAAAGTGGCCTGCCCAGTGTTATCCAGTAAATTTCTCAGTTTCCAATTTTTTCTTCGAAGAGACCTTTATACCAATCTTTGGCATCACCTTTAAGGCATGTTTCAAAGAGTCCATATACACAAACTCTATTAGCATACCCACCAGCTACATCGATTCCGGCAGCTACAAGATATGAATAAAAAAAATCAATAAACTCCTCTGGATCTTCATCGGAATATCCGTGGTAAGTTGGGGGTGCATATCCTGCCATACCTCTTCTATTGTTATTTATAGGTGGGTTATTCTGTAGTGCAAAAATTTGTTGATTTAAATTATTAATTAATTGTTCAGAATTTCAGGCTCGGGCTTTCCACTTACCCCATTTGAGATCAAGCTGAACATTAGCAAGTAATAGGTCATTTTTTAAAGTCTTGTATTTTCTCTTCCATTTGATATATCGATTTCTTGTAAGATTTAAGAGATGTGCGGTTGTTGCTTCATCAGCTTCACAATTTTGTAATTGTTTTTGAGTTTGTCTATTCAAAAGACATAATGTAAATTTTTCTGCTAACAACTCTGATATTTGTCTTTTTTGCGTACAGATTGTAATTCAACTATCAAGTTCTCAGGATTTAAATATACTATGTTGCGATCTGTGAGCCTCATAAGCCTGATAAAGAAGATCATAGTCATTTTGAAGTGTACTTAACTGGGTTTGTGAATTAGCTAACTGGATTTGCAAATTTGTTAGCTGGGTTTGCAAATCTGCTACTCGGTTTTCAGCATTAATTGTATGAGCATTTGCCTGTGGGTATATTTCTAGTACTAATCGTTCAAGCCTATTTCCAGCATCAGAGAATATGTTAAGATAATTTACAATATCATTTAATATAGATGTTATTGTAGTTGGGCTTTAAAAATACCGTCTAATATTATCAACCTCTTGCTGAATTCTATGATTCTGAATCGTAGCTTGATTTTTGGGTAAAGATAATTTGGGCGATTCTGGTTGTTGAGCTATATCTATATTATCATTGCCATTTTTATATAAAATAAGTATTTTTATTTTTTCATTAAGCTTGTATATTTCATCTTGAAAAATTACTAACTGCTTTTACAAATAGTCTATATAATTCTCTCAGCTTTCAGAATCTCGAAGTGTTTTTTCTAACCATTCTTTAATATCAGAAATTTTCTGTGTAATAGATCCAGTTCTCCATCTCGAATCAAAATTTCATTTTCGAGATATTTAATGTAACTCTCTTTTAAGTCTAAATCCCATTGTAATTTACAGAATCGATTTTTTTTATTATCTGCAAACTAGCTTCGAATTTTTTGATTGTTTCACTAAGTGAAGACACTATTGTATCTGATGGCATTGTACAAGCCTATAATATATCAACGCTTCTGGAAACTTTACTAAATAATAATTTATTAATATAGTAAAATGTATCAAAAATGAACCAACCTAGTATCATAATTAGTACTGATGAGGAATTGGCCCTAGTTTGCCGATTATTATTCTATCAACCAACAGAGTATCATTCCAACCCCCAAAAATTATGAAAAGATCTTAAAGCAGAGAGGTATCAGTTTCTATATAAAAAGGTATGTGAATGGCTTACAAACCAGAATGAATAGCAAAAACACACACCACCACCAAAAGATACTCCACGGGTTAGTTATGGCAAAATTTCACATCCGAATTGTGTACATCAAGCTGATATACTCTTTTTTACCCATGATCATTATAAGCAGAAGATATACAAAGCAGTGCTAAATATAGTGGATTGTGCGTTGAGATATAAGGCTTCAGTTCCTCTCACGTCGAAGAAAAGCTCTGAAGTTACTAAAGCATTCAAGAAAATTTATAATAGTTTATCAATTCTATTAACCTGGCCTAAATTGCTAACCATTGATGGTAATAAAGAATTCATGGGCGAAACTTCAAAAATAATGAAAGCACATAATATCACAATTCAAGTAATTAGTGCATATAGCTACCAAGATCTAGCTCTTGTAGAACGTTTTAATAAAACTCTAGCAGAAATACTATATAAAGTTCAATATGCTATCAAAAGTATAACTTCAAACTCTAAACTAATAAGAGCATGGGTTAAGCATTTGCCAAAAGTTATCAATTACCTAAACAATTATCTAACACGTCTCATCCGAGCTCCAAGTTCTTCAAAGTGAGGTTTAGCTTCCAAGGAAGCCATCAAGTTAGAAAAGGTAGAATCTAGGCCATCTACAAAATATAAGCGTCCAGTTGGAAAAAATGAGGAGAATAAGTTAAAGAAGGGTGATATAGTTTGTTATTTGCTTACTAATACAGAGTGGGAGGGAGGTATAGAGAATCAGAAAAGAGCCATGAATCCTGTATGGAGTCCTTCATTACATAAAATTCGCAAAATCGTGATAACAAAGGGTGAACCAATTTTATATTATCTCAGAAGCGATGACAATGAATATCCTCCAAATCAGGAGTTTGTACGAGAGAAGCTCATGCATGTAGATCTAGAAAAACTTCAGTATCTGCCTCAAAGTATATTGGAAGAAAAAACTCGTTCCAGATCTATTAATTTTGTTTATATTATTAATAAAATGGCTAAAGCCATTGCATATGCCGAAAAGCGTGGTGGAAAATGTCTTGGCAAAACTAATCATATAAATGGTCTAAACGTATATCTTTGGTTATGTAAAAAAAACTTC